AGGCCTGTTATTTATTGTATTTGTTCCCATCAAAATGCTAACAGTATATATTTGTTCCCATTAACAACATTCAAGGTGTGTGTGTGTGTGTGAGTGTGTGTGTGAGTGTGTGTGTGAGAGTGTGTGTGAGTGTTTGTATGTGTAAATAATCCAATCTGAAATATCAAGGGTCTTGGAGTCGGGGAGAACATGTTTCCTGCACCAGTTGTCATGGTGGATTTGCATATTCTCGTTGACATTCAGCCTCAGCGTGTACGCGACCCTCACCAAACGCCTGCAGAGATCTCACTGCAAGCACCACGAGGGGCCCCGGGCTCCTGGGAGCCTCACCAGCACTGAGAGGCTGTTCTTCTGACCCTTTCCTGCTCTTTTGTTAGAGCTGAAACTGAAATAGAGCTGCAGTGATGCTTCATAAGGCCGCGTTAAAGCTGCTCTGCCTGCTCAAAATTCTGTGTAAAGACACAATGCCGCATAAAAGCCTGCTCTGACACACCTCGGCCCCTAATGTAAAAGCATAAAGTTGTATTTGCATCTGCAATGTAAAATGTATATAAATGCATTCATGGCACCTCTGAGCAGCATTAAACAGTCACATAAATGCCACTTCAGAAGTGCTTCTGTGCCACCTTTGCAGTGCAAATTTAGCAAAAGACAAGATCTGACATCAACTCATCCTCACTGAAGATCAACAGGAGACTCTTTATCACTACACTGCTCTTATTGTGCACGTTTAACGTGTTTAGCAGAATATTACTGATGCTCGTTTCTACAACAACAACAGATGGTGATTGATTCTGTGAGGCTCCAAAACAGACAAGTTGAGATAAAAAGCTCGTAAAAAAAAAAAAAAAAAACTTTTTATCATGCAATTTTTACTTTTCGTCTCAGAATTGCAAGTTTGTATCTCGCAGTTGCAAGTTATAAAGTCTCAGTATTCTAAGTTTACATATCGCCAATTTTACTTTTTTCCTCGGAATTCATTTTTTCTCTCAAGAAAAGACTGAGTATTCTAAGTTTCAGTAAAAAAAAAAAGTCTAAATATTTATTTTTTGTATTCTGTGGCGAAAACCACCTTTCATAGGAAGGTAATAATACTAAGTAATAGTATTAGTTCATCTGATTTACCTTTTTAAATGTTTTCCAGACCACTGCACTGTATTTTAAATCTGCTGAATGCATATGAAAACATTTTTTGTATCGTGCAAAAACGTCCACACCTCTGAATGTGATTTTATCACTGAAATAACTGGAACATTGGAAAATATCTCCTGCTGAACATCTTTTATGTTCCACAGATGGAAGTTTGAAATGACATGGTGGTGAGTAAATGATGACTGGATTTATATTTTGGGGTGAACTATGCCTTTAAAAACGCGCCTGAGTTAGAGGTCTGAATCATTCCCTGATCCCAGGAGCATTGCTGTGCTGCTTAAAAAAGACCTTGTGATCTCTTGCTGAAAAAAACTTCAATTCATATGCATTCGTGACTCATATTGAGAGTTTTACTAAGCAATTACATGATTCCTCCTGCACTTGAGAAAAAGTGAAATTAGAGGAGGATTCATTCTCTGAAATATATATATATATAATATATAATACATATGCTGCTCTTTTGAACAGCCGTTCAGCTGCAGGCTTTAATTTGTCAACCCATATGATAAAGATCAGCTCAGGATGCAGACGCTTACTTTGTTAATTAGGTTAATTCACTCCACGATATCACAACATTATGTGACATATTTTGCAATAACCTGACTTTTTTGTCAGCAAGGTTTGTTAGGGTAAAAATAGCTTTGGAGCACTGAGCACATAAACATTATATGGTACTTTGCATGTAAAGGACGTTTGGTTTCAGATGACTGTTGAAAAGCATATTATATAGTGTTTGTTTTTTTGCATGTAGGTTTCTTATGATAACAAAGTGAAAGTTTCATTAGTTAAGGATGGTTGACGCATCAGATTTTGTGCAGTAGTTGCATTCCATCTAAAGCATTTAACATCTTGATGATTCCAGTGAGTCTTGGCACTAAAGCCTGCGAGTGTCGCCTCATTCTGCTGATTCAAAAATCCAGTGTTTTCCTTACATTGCACGCACATATGACCCACTTTTCCTGTGCATACTCTGACATGTTTCTGGTTTAGCATGCACTGGTCTGTCTTTGTGAATTTCCTCTGCAGATGATGGCCTGTCACAGACATGTTACTCACTGAGACACTGAGGCTTGGAGACACAAGAGAGCTCCTCTTCCTCTCGCTCTCTCTGTCACACATGTACTCTGGAATAATCTCACATCCTTTTTATTTAGTTTTTTGCAATTTGTATTTAGTTTTTTGCAGTGCATTTAGGTTTGGCCATTATAGACCAAAATGCATTTAGTTTTGGCTATTTTCGATCAAAATGCATTTAAGGTTGGCCAGTTTTGACTAAAATACATTTAGGTTTGCCATTATAGATCAACATGCATTTAGGATTGGCCATTATAGACCAAAATACATTTAGTTTTGGCTATTTTCGGTCAAAATGCATTTAGGGTTAGCTAGTTTTGACTAAAATACATTTAAGGTTTGCCATTATAGAACAAAATGCATTTAGTTTTGGCTATTTTCGATCAAAATGCATTTAAGGTTGGCCAGTTTTGACTAAAATACATTTAAGGTTTGCCATTATAGATCAACATGCATGTAGGGTTTGCCGTTATAGAACAACATGCATTTAGGATTGGCCATTTTACACTAAAATGCATTTAGGGTTCGCCATTTTTGACTAAAATCAGGAGTAATGTTGTTTATAATGGTAAACATCAATCACAATATATCTATTTTTGCTACAAATTCAATCTTAATATGAGTCATATTTGAATAACCATGTGGCCCTATTTTTGATAATCTGGTGAATTTGAACTAGTTAGTCCCAACCCAGAAGATATTTATCATAATATAATGCAGCTTCACATTATGCAAAAGCTTGTATCACAAACAAAAGACTGAAGTATGTGTTTTACAGCATAAAAGTTTGACAGATTTCTACCATCTGTGTGTACATTAATGAGGAAAAAAAATTAACTTAAATGATTTTAGCAAATGGCTGCAATATAACAAAGAGTGAAAAATTTAAGGGGGTCTGAATACTTTCCACTGTATACTGTCCAGCCCTAATTATGATAATTATGCTGTTTTTCTTCCTTTAATTCAGTCACTATGCATCTTTTTGGCGGTCAGGCATCTGCCAAGAACATAATTTGGTTGTTGTTTAGATTTATTATGTTTAAACCAGCAGGTATATGTGCGGTGTATTAATGTGTAGCTATGAGCACATGATGCTGTTTTGTTAGAGAATGTGTCGGTGTGAGTGGGCGGGTGTGAATATGATTAAGATGTGACAAGATTGGTTCTGAAACGTGTCAATTATCTTTGCTCCTGTCGTTGCTGTTCTCTGTGTGCTGCTGAAATAGAACCGAGGGCTTGGCGGTGACAGAATCCCAAAAAGGCGTCTCGCCTCTCTTGCAGTCCTGGAGGTGAAGAGCGCTTCAATGGTTTCATGATATTTTCACCTACAGGAACTCGAATGGAATTAAACTAAAATAAACACCTCGAAGGAGGCAGAGTTTCAGGCGAATTTTAGAACAGCTTTGCAGCAGTCAAAGCGTGTAAGTGTTGGTGTGTTAAATTACAAATTTCCCCAGTAAGTCTAAAAGGGACGTTTAGAGTGACAGCAGCTTCCTGCGTCAAAGCGTCTGGAAACCATTCATTTTCAATGAGAGCTGGCGATCAGACGGTTGAGCATTGACGCAATGTGGCAGCTGCCAATGGGAGAGCAGAGAAGCTCGTGTGATACAGATGCATAACTATAGCAAAGCAACTAACAGTAAAGTAAATACAGACTTCAGAGTTGCATGGTTTGCAGTGTTGTTGGATACTGGAATAATTAAAATATTTAAAGCAATAATTCACCCAAAAATTTAAATGTGCTGACTGAGAATGTGCTCACCCTCAGGCCATCCAAGATTAGGATGAGTTTGTTTCTTCATCAGATTTGGAGAAATGTAGCACTGCATCAGTGTCTCAGCAATGGATGCTCTGCAGTGAATGGGTGCCGTCAGAATGAGAGTCCAAACAGCTGATAAAAACATCACAATAATCCACAGCACTCCAGTCCATCAGTTAACATCTGGAGAAGACAAAAGCTGAAACACATCCAGCATTAAGACATTTTTAACTCAAATACATAGAGTCCATAATCTATAATAACGCTTCCTCCAGTGAAAAAGTGCATCTCCCATTGACTTTCACATCAAAGTCCAGCCACATATTTGTTTAGAGCTGTTTAAACGGTGCTTGATCTGTGCAGATTTCTCTCCTGATTCACACCAGAACACTGACTCACTGGAGGAAGAGTTATTATGGATTATAGACTCTATGTATTTGAGTTAAAAACATCTTAATGCTGGATGTGTTTCAGCTTTTGTCTTCTCCAGATGTTAACTGATGGACTGGAGTGCTGTGATTACTTGTGGATTATTGTGATGTTTTTATCAGCTGTTTGGACTCTCATTCTGACGGCACCCATTCACTGCAGAGCATCCATTGCTGAGACACTGATGCAGTGCTACATTTCTCCAAATCTGATGAAGAAACAAACTCATCCTGATCTCGGATGGCCTGAGGGTGAGCACATTTTCATTTTTGGTTGAACTATTCCTTTAATTGTATTTTAGTGCATTTATTTTTTAAGTGTCTTTGTCTTGTTGCATCTTTGTCTTGTGTGGTCTAATATAATATTGCACGATTGAAATCTAGCGTGACTGGCAACCACCCCTTTACGCTCTATTCCTGAAACTCAAGCTCAACCCTTGGCTGTAGGGTACACTCTTCTTCATCTACTATGAACGCCACACTGGTCTCACTGTTGCAGGCCGCTGAGTTGGAGCTAAACTGTCTGTGTTTACATAACCAGTCCCTTAGACTGATGCAGCCATGGCAACGGATGCATTGCATGTTGGATGGCAGCTCCTGTAATCTACGAAGTCAAGAATGACCCAGACGTGAGATTCTGGTCACGTGTGTGCGAGAGGCACTTTGATGTAACTTTCTTCCCACACAACACTAACACCTCTAGGCATCCTGTCAGATAGATGGACTGGCCTGTCGTACTGCTTTGCTAGAGACGGGACTCTGGCCTGTTTGCTGACTCTCTCAGAGGAAAGGAGTTGTGTGGATGGTGTCGAATCAACTGTGATTTTAGTTCAGAGGAAATCCAGTATTATCAGGTGAAGCAGTGGGAATGAAAGCTGTCCAGAATATGAGGTATATTTCCTTTAACTAGAGAAGCCAAAAGCTGAACCAAATCCATCAAGACGTTTATAACTAAAATACGAGTCCATAATTCATAATAACGCTTCCTCCAGTGAGTCAGTGTTCTGGTGTGAATCAGGAGAGAAATCTGCAGATCAAGCAGCGTTTAAACAGCTCTAAACACATATGTGGCGGGATTTACATGTGAGAGACAACAGCAGATGCACTTTTTTCACTGGAGGAAGAGTTATTATAGATTATGGACTCTATGGTATTTTAGTTAAAAACGTCTTGATGGATTAGTTTCAGCTTTTGTCTTCTCCAGATGTTAACTGATGGACTGGAGTGCTGTGGATTACTTGTGGATTATTGTGATGTTTTTATCAGCTGTTTGGACTCTCATTCTGACGGCACCCATTCACTGCAGAGCATCCATTGCTGAGACACTGATACAGTGCTACATTTCTCCAAATCTGATGAAGAGACAAACTCATCCTGATCTTGGATGGCCTGAGGGTGAGCACATTTTCAGCAAGACTTGAGATTTTTTGAGCAAATGTATGTGACATTTCCACAGCTCTTGTTAAAACAGGCCACATGCTCATTGCATGCTGTGCTTGTGAAATCAATGATATTTACCTTGTAAAAATATAAATGAGAATGTGTAAACTCTTTAATGACTAACCCGGGGAAAATATCTAAAAGTGTGAAAAGCCCAAGAGAAGTCAACGCCCACAAGTGACACATCTGATCTTCTCCTTCATTAGAGTCCTTCACTTTGCCTTCTCTCTGTTCACTGCTTCTTTTCGTCCCTCATCGTGTCCTTGTGTCACCCGGCTTTGCCCTGTCAACGCTCCTGCAGGCCCTCGCGCTGATTGTCCACAGGAAGTCGGCTGAAAGAGAATTTTCCGCTTTTCGCGTCCCATTTAGCCACAGCCAGCAGTCTTGCGATCCCTCGAAGCCACTGATAATAGAAAGAGGTAAGAGAGAGAGAGGAAGGAGAGCGCATACATGACAGAAAAAGAAAAGATGAAGCATGCAGGATGGGGAGGGAGAAAGAAAGCGAGAGAATGAGATCATCACAGGCTAGTCTAGACCAGTCCTTTGCTGGATTGCATAACTCTCCTTCTGCTGCTCGCAGGATGCTGCATTTATTCACAGGTAATTAATGGGCATCTCCATGGAGACTGAATTGTCCTTTGGGCATCATGTGTGGACCATGTTTTCCCTCTTGCTGTTACATCTTCCCATTTATAGGACATTAATTTATCCTTACTCATCCATTGGATGAGCCTACAATGGTAAACAAGTTGTAGAGAGGCCAGATGTGTTCCAATCCAAGCTCTTCGATTGCAAAATTACTTTAAAAACATTACAATTGAGTTCCTACGTTCCAACATCCCAATGAGCAAAACAAAGAGAAGAAAACGATCACCCCCAAAATGATTCTTTTGTGTTTGACACAAAAGGTTTGGACCAAGCAAGGATGAGTACTTTTTTTATCACGCTTGCCAAAGGCGGGTAAAATTTACGGTCCATAAATGTTTTTCACCAGCCATGAAACTGTTTTTTGCATTAGACTATAATTAGAAAACATATATTGTTGTCCGTATGACAATGGCATTATTTTTACTGATTGTATTTCCATTTCTATTTGTAGCAAACAGTAAAGGTAACTTGCTGATGAATAAAACTAATGTATATCTATTGTAAAAAAAACAAGTCATGCAAGTTTGGACCAAACAGGGGTGAATAAATGAAAGAATTTTCACTCGGGATGAACGATTGCTTTAATCGTCATTTACATCCTCATAAATGTTGTTTACGTCTGTCGGCATCCACTAGGTGAATGAACGGCGTGATGGATTTGTTCTGTCATATTTTCAGCACCTGAACAGCTGCTGTTCTTCTGCCGGAGAGCATGCATGTGCACAGCAGAGGTCACGGCTGCGCTCTTCTGCTCTGTCCACTGAACCGTGTGGAGATGATTCTGCCTTGTTGTGCTGGATTTTTAGATGCAGCTCTGTACTGGACTGGTGGAAGCCTGCTTGTTTGTGCAACATCAGCTTTAAATGACATTTGAATTAGAATTATAAAGATAGAATGTGGGACGGGATTGAGATCTCAAGTTTTGACTAAAGTGGGAGTTTGTTGAATGAATGTGGCTGTCACGGAAGGAAATGTGCTCTACATGCATCATTGAAATAAACATAAATTAAATAATTATAACAGTAAGAATATACTAAGGTGACCATACGTCCCCGGATTTCTAAATTGCCTAATATTTCCGGGTTTGGGCTTTGTTTTACTATTGACGTGCTCTCTAGTCCTCATACATTATATGTACGTGTATTTCCATTGCTTTGACCGTTCTCTTGCACGCCACGATTGGTCGATTATGTACAATGCCTGCATACTATTGGTTAAACTACTTTCTAGTCACTGCCTTCAGTAAGTATGAAAACAATAGGAAAACAAAGCCAAAATCCAGACATGTTAGGCAATTTAGACATGTCCGGGAGAAAGAAGACAAATGGTCACTCCAGTATATAATAATTATAGGAAACAAGTCTCCTCTGAATAGGGCTTTAGTTTATTTCTTTTCTAGTTTTTTTTTTTTTTACTTTATTTGTATAGCACTTTATACAATACTGATTGTGTCAAAGCAGCTTTACAGAGTCAAACAGGAAAATAGTTTGTCAATGATGCAAGAGGACAATAACAGAGTCATTTTTCAGCTAAAGTCAGTTCATTGATGATTAAGTGAAGCCATCATCCAGCTGAGTTCTCTTCCAATAGTGTCTGTGCAATCAGTCAAGCGTCCCCAACTAAGCAAGCCAAAGGCGACAGTGGCAAGGAACCAAAACTCCCATCGGTGACAGAAATGGAGAAAAAACCTTGGGAGAAACCAGGCTTAGTCGGGTGGCCAGTTCTCCTCTGGACAGACGAAACCAGCATGATGTGGTTTAATTCCAGGCTGCAGCACAGGTCAGATTGAGCAGAGGACTCGTCTGGTTCCCGTGGTCTTGTGCCGATGGTCGTCGAGGTCTTCACAGGGGATCTGTCTCTAGTTGACATGGTCTCCGCTGACATTCAGGGCTGTAGAGGTCATCTCTAAGTGCTGATCCACCATCTGATCTGGATAATAAATCAACATTTGACTGACTGTCCTCATCCGACTAACCTCATTCGTCCTCAGATTCACAAACGGCAAACCCTCAGTGCAGTCTCTGCTTTAGCACAGACACTGAAACAGCTGTGGCCTTACTGAGGGTGCAACCATGTTGTTTTATTATATAACAGATGCATGCATGCTTGCTCCCATGTACACATCACGTCGTAGCCCATGAGATCTGCAAAATGTTTCATAGTCTGGCCGGCGCTGCTGGCTGTTAACTGGATGATGATGAGGTTTATCGACTTCCTGTGAAGTCATGCATACAGGGTCCAAAATGAACTTTTTACCACGCTTGCCAGTGGCGGATGAAATTTACCGTCCATAAATATTTTTCACGGGCCATGGACCTGTAATTTGCATTATGTTAAAGACAAATTGTTGTTATTTTTTATTATTATTATTGACAATGGCATTATTTAGTTTTGTTTTTATTTGTGGCATACAGCATCACAATGCAATAGGTCAAATGATCACGTTTCCATATTTCTACTAATTTTAACTTTTATTTTCTTGCCAAAGCCAAATATTTACTTGCATTTGGTGAGTGTTTATTCTGATCCATATTATATATGCCAAAATAGACATTTGGTTTGCCTCTGATTTAATAAAAAGCATGCATAATTAGGACACGTGTCACCATATTACTGTAAACAGAATATTTTTGTCTGTTGACATGCATGCAAATGGCTAATATGAGAACAAAAATGTTGCACATTATTTTCCTGGGTAATATCAGAGCGCTTGCCACCAGAAAAACCCTGAAGAGCTCCAAATGCAGACTTTTCAGGTTCTTACTGTTATGGAGCACAGATAAATGTGTAAACACTTTTGGGATATATACCAGAAAATGATATATGTGGTAGTCTTTGCCCTCAGTGAGAGCGAATGAACAGTTTGTTAGTGGAGCAGATTGGGAATGATTCAGTCCCGAGGGGAGGAGAGGGGAGGAGAGGGAGGTGTCAGAGAGAGAGAAAGTGAGAAAGAGGCAAAAATAGAGACATTATCACGATGCACAGAGATGTATGATTTTTTTTAATCATCTGGTGTTGATTCATTTTGGGGTAATGGAGGCCGTATTTATATCATGCATGTAATAAGTTTCCACATTTACATGCCTTTGGAAGATGCTTCATCTGAAGTGGCTTACATTGCATTCAAGATATACTGTACATACAAGCAGAGCTGGGTAGTAACTGATTACATGTAATCTGGATTACGTAATCAGATTCCAAAAATGAAGTACTTGTAATTAGATTAAATTACATTTTAAAATACTCTGAATCAGACTACAGTTACTTTTTTATTGATTACATGATTACATATTATTCCCACAATATTCATAATTATTTCTCTTTTAAATGTTCTTTTCTAAAATAGCCGAGTGCTTACATACACTCAGAAAGTCTTCCAGTTTTGTGGACATTCACACAAAGGCCAGTCACTACAGTCAGCTGGCGCTGGATTTACAAAAATCAGTTCAGGTTTAAGAAGTGTTTCAGCTTTGCCTCAGCTACTGATGAACACATTAATTAAAGGTTATTTAACCATGTATTACTGTGTCTTTGGAAGGCATTTGTCTTTCAAACACATTAAAATGCACAAATTCAAGTTATTTCTTATTTACATGTAATGCAACCATTCCCAAACTTTTTTTGTCAGCTAAACCTCTTTCCCCTAATATATTCATTGAAGTCCCCCAACACACACACACACACACACACACACACACATTAGTATCACATTTGCACGTTCACCGTTCTTTGACGGTGGTTAATGGTCACACGACATGCAGATAAACACATAAAATATTTCATTTCTAGTAAGCGTTTTATTTTGATTTGTTGTTATTTTAAAATAATTTAAGATTTATTCAAATTATTTATATTAATTTTACATTTTTATGATTTAATTATTAAATTAAGATCAAAAGTAATCAAAAAGTAATCTGATTATATTACCTAAAATGTGAAATGCACTGGATTATGTTACTAACTACAATTTTTGCCATGTAATTTGGAATTTTGTAAGCAAGCAATTTGTAAGTAATCTACCCAGCTCTGCATACAAGTGCATATTTGTACACGTGTAAACAAAAATTATTTAAAGTGTTCATAAACCTTACATTTGACTTGATTAATGTAGAATATACGTCTGACTGTAAAATGTCTCATCTTTGTGCCGTTTCTTTATTATTGCATATGATAATCCATGTGGAGGTGATGCTGACAGCTTTATACGCTTGGATGATCATCTCTGGAATTAGAGTTTTGCCCTTTTCCAAATAAACTAAAACGTTGGCGACAACTTTTCCTTTGATTATGAATGTTGAATTTCATTCCGCACATTTACTTTCTCGCTTTCTCTTCACAGGATTTGCTCGCCCTCCAGTTGGATGCTGCATAGACGCTCTGAATCCTTCCTGCTCGCTGTCATTCCCGTTAACCGACTTGGAGGCGCACAAACACGCTGCGAAAACCGACACGCGATGCGTTTTGACATTTCACGCGAACCCGCAAAACTCAAACGCACGTTTTAAAGGGGTCATATGATGCTTTTTTTAAAGATCATTATTCTGTGTATTTGGTGTAACAGAATATGTTGACATGCTTTAATGTTCAAAAAACACATTATTTTTCAAATACTGTACATTATTGTAGGTCCTCTATGCTATTGCTGTTATTACTACCATTGTATATTTGTTAATATTACTCATGTAGCCTCATCTCAATTTGCACATCTGTTACTGCTGCTATTGTTTTTTGCACATAATCTAATCAAAATACCATATACATAGTCTATATTTCTATTTTCACATTCTATATTCTACTCTACTTCTACTCGCATGTATAGATACCAATCTATATTTCTATTTTTTACATAGTCTATATTCCTACTACTGCAGCATAGTTTTTATTATTATGTTTCTTACATTGTGTAGAGTATGTGTGTGTAGAGTTTGTGAGTTTGTGTATGTGTGTGTGTGTGTGTGTGTGTAGAGTTTGTGTATGTGTGTGTAGAGTTTGTGTATGTGTGTGTGTGTGTGTGTGTGTAGAGTTTGTGTATGTGTGTGTAGAGTTTGTGTATGTGTGTGTGTATAGTTTGTGTATGTGTGTGTGTATAGTTTGTGTATGTATGTGTATAGTTTTGGCATTCATTGTGGACAGCAAAGTAAGAATTTCATTGCTCGGGGAAACTTGTTTTCCTCACTGGGCATATGACAATAAACGCTTTGAAATTGGATTCGAGTGTACTGTTCTTAAGCATGTAAACCGAAATACAAAAGATGACAAATACTTATTAAAAAAAACGTACTGTAGCATAGTACATTGATATTATGCAATTATATTGCTATTTACAAGGTACTCCAAGAATAGCATGATACATGTCCAAAAAAAATCATATTTCCATTGTAGTGAAATATATAGATTCAGTTCTCTGCTGTTTGCTTCATTACAATCTGCTAGTTCTGTAAGTATGCCCCCATTTCAATTTGGATTTTACTCCAATTTCATTCGAACCCCAATGAAAACCCTCTTGTTTATGGCTCACGATATGGGAAAAACCAAAATACGAGGCGTTGCTTCAGACTTATCTCCTAAATTCTGCTTGAGTGTTGGTTTGTTAATTGTTTATTCTGAACAGTATCAATTAATCAATCTGATGATTAGATTCCAGTGTATTATAACTGC